CAGGCTTCTGTTGCCTTAAAATGAGGGTATTTTCTTCAAGCCCTGCCTTTCCTGCTTTCCTTTCTATTTTCCCTTCCTTTCTCTCATCTCCCTTCTCCATTTTTTCCTTTCTTTCCTCTTTTCTTCCCTTTCTGTACTATCTTAGACTTTTTGTAGATGATTCTAAAGTGGATGAGTTCCCTTGCTCATGCGGTCTAGGAGAGGGGATATTTCTCAAGGTACGAGCTGGAGACTTCACAAAGAAGCACAGGGAACATCTCCATTAATCCTACAAGAAAGAGTCCTGCCAGACGTTTATGCCCCTGTTTGACAAGTCTTTATAACAGAAAATGAACTGGAGAATAGTAGTAAATGAATCTCCAGTCAAATATAATTCAATTTTTTAAGATATTCATAAACGTACTTCCTATGTGCACTTTTCTTTTCCCGCCGCATATGTGAAATCATGACACTTGCAGATTTATGTGTCCCAGCACATACAGATTTGCATTCCATATTCACCACTGGAGACCGGTTCACTCTTTGCTTATGATGTTATTTTGGGTTGTACTATTTATGTTACTGTTTTCATTATTTTTTATGCTTCAGTGAACCTCTTTTTAGTCATGAGTCCATTTTTGAGAATTGGGGATATAACGCAGCACAAGCATAAAAACAAAATTATAAATTTAATAACATTAACAGTAGCATGAAAATATATTAGGTGAGACAAACTGGATTCTATTAGCTAGATGTTTGCAGACAAACAAAGCAATGCGGTCCTTCAAAGGACACGTGTAACTTTAGAGGACATAATTGTCATTAATTGCATGAGTAATGGGATTTCTATGTAAATAAAAATTAATCTTACTTTTCAGATTTGTTTAAGGCTGTGAACAAAATAGTTTTATGGATTTTGGATTCTTCCTCTTCAAACTGACAAACTGCCTCTAACATGGCCACAAACCATACTCTAATAAATACCACTCTGGCTGTTAAAGCATCATATCACCTTTCTCATTTCTAGTCTCTGAATTCATTATATATACAACTTTCTTTTTTTTGCGTTTTTCCTCTGAGACGTTATATGTGTACACACACACACACATATAATAATTAGGAAATAAATTAGAAGGACTCCTGTGTTTTGACCTCTTATCATAATTTAAAGCAATTAATAAAGAGCACAAGAGCATAATAATTTATCTTGACCTTAGAGTGCTTCTCTCTAAGAAGCCAGATAAAGCACAGTAGCAGCTCTCATTTGTCCACAGCTTACATCTTCTTCACAGAATATGCAATGACCGCATCCTTACTCCAAAGGGATGCTCTGTCATCTCAGAAGCACAAAGAATCTGAAGAAAGGAGACTGATATTACAGAAAAAAAAATTATTGCTGATTTCTACAATAATGATATTGAATATCCTTTTTGATAAGAGCCTTCTGGAAAGATCCAAAATTCACCTCTCTGACACACACTCAATGCTATGGTGAATAACTGCGTTGACATACAAATGTGTGTTGATATATGTGTTGACATATAAAAAATGCTTTGAGGGGCCAGCCCGGTGGCTTAGTGGTTAAATTCGTGTGCTCCGCTTTGGCAGCCCAGGGTTCACAGGTTCGGATCCTGGGTGCAGACCTACACACCGCTCACCAAGCCATGCTGTGGCAGTGTCCCATACACAAAATAGAGGAAGATTGGCACAGATGTTAGCTCAGTGATAATCTTCCTCAAGCAAAAAGAGGATGATTGACAACAGATGTTAGCTCAGGGCCAGTCTTCCTCACCGAAAAAAAAAAAAAAAAGTCTTTGATGAATTTTCTAAGCGTAAATATTTGGCAGACTAATTTTCTTGCAAAAATAACTATTCACCACCTTAGCGCTGATAAACAGATTGGCTAAAATTCAATCTTCTTCTCCTTAGTTATGAAATAGGAATATTAATACCTACCTTTCCTTTCTGCAGATATATTAGAAAGATCAAATGGGGAAATGTTTGTGAAATTAATTTGAAACCTGAAAGCAGCCACATAAATATAAAGTTTTGACATAAATAGACCTCAGTTCAAATAAATAAAGATCATAGTTGCAAATAAAAGTGATATCCTAATTAATCCATAATTTATTTCTTAGAATAAGCTCAAATATATGTTGAAGGGAGTATATACAAGTACTTTCAGTAGCATTAACATGTAATCATATATAGATCTTTACATACCCACATATGGATGAATAAAGTGATATAACTACATAGACTGATTCAGTCAGCATGTATTGAACTCATGCCTTGAACAAGACCTGTTCTAGAGAAACAATGCTTAATCCTGACTCCTTGCCCTCACCGTGTGCTGGGGCATTAATACATGTGCTACCGAAAAATTTGTTGCACTAAAATTTATAAGAGGTAGAAGAAAGAGCAGCATTTACTGAGCTCTCAGCATTTCAGTTTATATTTTACCATTAGTTTAAAAAGTCATATTGAGTGAGATACCTTACTTTGTCTAGTGGAATTTAGGGGAGGATCAATTATGTATCTTGAAACTGAATGGGATAAAGGAGTAAGAATGTTTCAAGGGGTGCCTTTACAGCAGGAATGGTGCCGTGAGTCTTGGGTGGCTACATATAAACCATTATCAAGCCAGGCCTGATGGCCTAGTGGTTAAAGTTTGGTGCACTCCGCTTCAGCGGCCCGGGTTTGGTTCCCAGGTATGGAACTACACTATTAGTCTGTCAGTAGCCATGCTGTGGTGGCAGCTCATGTAGAAGAAAAAGAAGAATTTATAACTGTACATAACTATGTACTGGGGCTTTAGGGGGGAAAAAAGAAAAAGGAGGAAGATTGGCAATAGATGTTAGCTTAGGGTGAAACTTCCCCTGCAAAAAAAAAAAAAAAAAGAGCTGTTGAAAAAAAAAGAAAGAAAGAAAAAAATGTTATCAATACTGATAGCTTCCAATCTCAATGGCAGACCATTCCTAAGCAAACTTGCTTTCTACTCATGGCCAGGTACATTTCTACAAGGTATTACCTATCATAAAGAAATTGCCAAAGATGTCATTGTTTCAAGTCATGCTAAGATTAGTAATAAGTGTTGTTATGTGCTTAGTTTTATCCAGTTTGGGCCTAACATAAATAATGAACTTTCTAGCACCACTTTTATATTGACAGAACTAAGAATTCTCCATTCTATTATGATGTTAAAATGATGTCATCTATGTCAGCCATTATGACAACAGTGCTTCACATATCTGAGAAGAGGGCCATATTTAAAACTTCTTGGCTATTATTTTGAAGAACTAGAGGATTGCTAAGACAGTCAGGCCAAAAAGTAGATGATCTGAAAAGGTGGATAATTTTTGGAAATTCAAAAAACATAGAAGAAAAAAATGGGAGTGCTTTTATGGGGCAACTAAAAAATATAGACTCTCTGATAAATATAGACTCTCTGATAAAAAGAATGAATTACATATATATATTTAAATAATCATATTTATTTGTGTAATATACTTGAAGTAGTTTTAAGTGGTTCTGTCAAGACTATTATTAGATATATGAAGCTATGGTCACTTTCGTCACAGTACTTGGCAGAATACTTTAAAATCATTCACTAGCATTCTTCACAGTAGAAGGCAATATAAGAAGGAGATGAAGACACTGAGTTATGTGCTACTGAATACTGGAGGTCAGCTGAGGGCTAGAACCCAGTGATCCCTTCTTGATACAAACTGTGATCTAGGACATGTAGACTCAAAAACAATGATGGACTTAAAACATAGAGAAAAATTGTTGAAATATATAAATATGGCTATAAGAAAGCAATCAGTCAAATAAAAGTTAAAATAAATCTAATGAACATATAGGAGACAAAGTTTGAGAAGACAAGTTTTGGCTTTGCCCTGAATAAGCTGATTTCCTTAAACCAAACTTCATCTAAAAGGAGAAGGTTGACATAAATTACTCCAAAATCCCTCCATACATAAAAGGTAACATGATAAGATAGAAAGAATACAGATTTTGAGGTCATTGTTGCCTGGATTTTAATCTAAAATCCACCACATATTGGCTGAGTGAGCAATGCCAAGTTAATTAACCTTCATGAGCCTAAATTTACTCTTGAAATAAACATCCATCTTTCAGGATTGTGGTGGGGATTATGGAAATTAAGTGTATGGCACAGAACCTGGCATGTAGTAGGCATCAAAATATATTAGTTTTCTCCCACTATTCCCCATTGTCAATCTAAAATTCTATGAATTGTAGCAGCTAGATTGCCTAGATTATAATTTAAATCTATAATCTAAGATTACTGTCTCTAGGCCTTTCTAGTTAAGTGAACTTGAGCTGGTAACTATGTTTCTTCATGCATAAAATGAGAGTTCACATATATGCTTTGTTTTCTCTCTGCTTGTTGTTATAATAAAAAATAAATACAGTGTGAAAACAGTCATAAAAAGAGCTGTATTTGTGGACAGGGAAGGAATTAACACTTCTAGGTGCTTAGAGAGTTCTAGCTGATTTGCTTGCAGTGTTCTTCAATCTTCATTATGATTCTGTGAGGTATATCTTTATTCCACAAGTGAGCAACTGCAGAAAAGATAAGTAGCCTGGCCGAGCTCACCCAACTGTTAAGTCACAGAGCAGCAGTCAGTCCAGGTATGCTCACCTGCCTGCTCTGCACATGGCTTCTGAAGAACAAAGGTTGTTAGTAATAGGAAAGGATTCTTGGTCTTAAAGCAAGAATTATGAACGGAAGGGTGAAGAATAGGCTAATAGATGCTCTGAGCAGCTATTTAAGTGTCTGCTCATTTAGCAGAACAAAATAAAACTTACTAAACTGATGAGAAGGAGTGATAGGTAATAAGGAAACAAATCACCAAGGAAAGATAATTATTAAATACAACATGACTGTTTAATGTATATGTCTAATACTATATTTTTCCTATTTTTATAAAACTGACAGTGAAAAAATGAAAAATCCATGTTAATTCATCATGTATTCTAATACGCTTCAGCAGCAGAATAAAGGAACCATGCCGGTTGCTGTGACTCCACACACAGAGCGAAGAAATCCTCTGCGAACCCTGTGGGTTTATAGAAGTCTATCAATCACTCTGTCAGTCTTCCGGATCATTATTCAAGTTGCTGTCCCCAATTTTGCTGGATATATCAGATCAGCTCCAGCTCCATAGGTAATTTTGCTCCCTAAAGAGTTTGGAATTTGTTCTTTTTTTATTATCTTTGGGCTAATGTGCCGCTCAAAATCTCGGGAAATGGTAGTAAGAATGTCAGTCATTAGCTCTGTGTGTGTGTGTATTTAATTCACAAACTATTATCTTACTATTACTACACAGGGAATTTAAAGGTATAGAAGAACAGTTACTTTGTGCTAGTTCTGTTAACTGTGAATATCATGCTTTCTTATGTTTCTCCTAATATAATTATTTTATATATTCCTTTGTTTATTTCAAGGATCTTCAAGGTCAGAGAAAAACATGTATACATGGTTTCAAGTTGATGTAGAAATTTGGCAGGTATCTAAACATTTGATCAATAGAGAACAATACATTGGAAAACTTGGCTAAACATTTACCCAAATTCAATCAGCAAAGCAGATATATCTTTGTAAAATAAAGCAAGGATAGCTTTTGGATATATTTGCAAAGGAAGTTTATTCTTTCATTAAACAAATCTGTACTCTGCAGGTGTGTAAAACATTGGGTTTGGCATGAGTAGTACACAAACAAAGAAGACCAAGACTCTCCCTTTAAGTAAAAAAATAAATAAAAACACAAAACTGACAGCCTTAAAGAAATATGCTAAGTGTAATATTAGAGGCACATAAGATATGGGAATACCATCCAGATCATAAGATTCAGGAAGGCTTCCTGAAAGATGTGAGAAATAAGCAGAATGTTACAGATTAGTAGACGTTATCTAGGTGAAGAGGAAGGGAAGAGCATTGAAGGTACAGAGGTTGTAGGTGAAAAAGAAAGACATTTATGAGAGATTTATAAGTATTTTAATATCTCCAACTACAATTTAATCTTCATAGGAGCAGGAGTCTTCATCTTTTTTGTACATAGATGCATTCCCAGTATCTAGAACAGTGCCTAATACATAGTAACTACTGATTGAATGAATAATTGAATTAATGATTAGATTATAAAATACAATTCAAGGAACAGAGAAATATGAGCTTGGAATAGAACGAGATCTCAAAGTATCATTAAGTGTTCCTTAGCGACCCTTTTTTACTACTTTTTCTCACGTAGGCCCTTCCCAGCTCTGGGATATGAGGTAATAGCATAGCGTTGCTTCTCAGTAATCGACACTCCTATTCACACTTGCCCTCTAGAACTTGTCTTTGTAATGTATAATTTTCTTGATGCAATTTCCCAACATAATCTCCCAATGTCCATTTACCTTGGGATATATCTTTGTTGATAGAAGCTAATTTAATTTGCCTTAAACTCTTCATGGGAGAAAACTGTTCCAGATATCATTTTCAGTGAGCCAGGGCACTGTGAAAAGACCACTACTCATGATCATTGGAGTTAAAAGCATTGAGTTCATATCTCAGTTCTGACATGGGCCTGGTCTGACATGGACCAGACCTCCAACTTTGAAATGATTATATTTAAAATGCCTAAATCACAGATTTGAGTAAAGAGTAAAATAAATTTTAATACATGACACAAATGTAAGGAATTATCAATTTACTAGAGCTTACAAGGTCTTGATACCAAAAAAAATAATATGTATGAAAGGTTCACACATGATCACTGCTGTTCTGGGATAATATTTTGCAAAGCATGGATAAACATTTTTGGCAAATTTCAAATCACATTACGTAGATTTCCTTTTATACCTATATTAAAAGTGGCATTAAACTAAAACCAGAGGGATATGGGAGATTATGATTTATTCCCAAATAACTCTTAATCTCTGTGTTCCTTAATCTCAAATTTGAGAGGAATAGCATCCTCTGATCACTATATAAACACTTTTCTTATTAATATTCATAACCACTAATGCTACAAGACAGGAATCATCATCATTCACTCTTTAGATATGAAGTAGTTATGAAACCTACATAAAGTCGAATGCACTATGCTTGGCCCCATAATCTTTGGGCTTTCTAGCACGTATTGGCACCTCTCTCCTTGAACTTGGTTAGTCAATGAATTTGAGACAAAGTTATTGAAGAGAGATACTCTTCATTATAATATAAATAAGCATATAATAACTACTCATTTTTTTTCTTTTTACCCTCACTGAAATAGGACTATATTTCCCCTATGGGCACGGTAGATAATTGTTTATGTGGATTATGCTTAATTCATTGGTCTCATACTATTAATTTGTATGTTAATTATTTTATGTGTGTATATATGTACATGTATAGTGCAACATATGTCTGTATGTATAAACATATATACAGGTATGCACATATATTCATACTTACACACATATGCTTAACATTCGTTCCCCTCCTTCACTAGCCCTGTGGACACTTGCATTTTTTACTCTTTGTGAAATATATTGCCAAATCAATCTCATCCATATGCTAAATTTACTTGTTCCTGATCTAATGTATGTTATTAAAATGAGAAGTAGTCTTTCAAATCAGACATATAGCAAATTAGATGCAACAAACATGTTAACATTAATTCACGTAATTTTTGGTGGAAGCTTCCTTCTGCAGAGAACAACAGCTGTATTGGCCTGGCATGATTGTGATGCAGGACCCTATAAAGAGGAGCCTTAAGATCTACAGATAACTTGAGGTTGGTGAGATTGTCAGAAAAGAAGTCTAGTACCTAAGTTACCATGCTTTCTTATAGAAATAGAGTCATCAAAAACCACAAAATCATGTTAAGTGGTTAATACATGTGAGATGTCATAAATTTTCCCACGAGTTTTCAGACTAATTGCATTATACTATAAAATACATCTTTTACTATTTTTGGACATAGAGACACCCAGTAAAAATGATTGAATATGTTATTTTAAATTATATTTAATCTTGTATTTATTATTTTCTTTTCTTTCCAGGTGGACAGTGTGTTTTTCTTCCTATTTTTAAAGACAACAAAGTGGAAAACTGGTGAATATTATAAGGACACACTGAAGAATGCACTCTTACTAAGGCAATAAAAAAGAGAACATATGTCCAAATTCTTTTTCATTTAATTCCATTTCTCTGTGTGAAATTTTGTACTTCCCTGCATTAAGTGTAAGCAAATATTTTTCATGTAACATTTTCAATTAAATTAAATATTGCCATTTAATTCACATGAATTGAACACCTACTATGTTCCTGGTAATTCAGTGTACAAACACGACTAAAATATCTTTTCTGAGCTCTTTGCAGGCTATTTGAGAAAGTTGGTAAACTGATAAGCTCAACACAAAGCAACAAGTGGTGTAACAGAGGTTTGCACAGCAAGCAAAGCATCTGACTTCCCCTCCCCCTCAATTTAAAATTCTATGCTCAATAAATTTTTCTTCAAGGAAAATTTGAAAAATTGATTTCTTAAAATAAAAAGACTCCCAGCAGGAAATCTTGAAAAAATCCTAACCAGTGGGGATATATAGAAGGTATTATGAAAAACTTTTGTAGAATATAATCAGAGTATAAGGAACTATAGAATATTTTTAGAAGAGGAATGTAATTATACTGACCCCATTTAAAACCTGGATATGATAATGGTACTTCACTGCTTAAAACCCACAGATACTGCTAAGAACTAGTAACATGGCTTAAAAAGCCCTTTGAGATCTAGCCCCCGCCTACATCTAAAGCCCCATTCCATGCCTTCTTTCATTTCTCCATACTCAATCACTCTGATCTTTTAGTTCCTTGAACGTTTTTCCTTCCCCAAAGCCTCTGTATATGCTGTTCTCTCTGCTTGGAACATCTCTCGAACCTCAAGTATCACTTTAATATCCTTCCAACAGTCTAAGCCTCCCCTAACCTTCACGCATCATCACTACCAACACTCCTGCCTCCACGAGTGCAGCTCAGTTCCACTATATCAGTTCATATCATCTTATCTCCATTAAACCTACCCCATATGATAATTAAATAGTTTTGTGACATGTAGGCTCTATTAAGACAAGAAAGTTGTCTCTTTTGCTTACTACATTTTTCCTAGTGCCTATCGTAGGACTTGACATATAATAAGGGCACAATAAACATTTGTTGATTGAAAAAGTATTTTCAAGATCTTATGGCAATTAAAGAGGAAAGATGATTAAAAGGAAGTAATACTAAACACAAGAAGAGTTAAGGGACTTTTTAGTGAGTCTAAACTAATATAAGTAATAATTCCCAGGAGCCCTGACAGGTGGTGTAGCATTTAGGTTCCCACACTCCACTTCGGCTGTGGCCCAGGGTTCACGGGTTTGGATCCTGGGCATGGACCCACGCACTGCTTGTCAAGCCATGCTGTGGTGGTGTCCCACATAAAGTAGAGGAAGATGGGCACGGATGTTAGCCCAGGGCCAGTCTTCCTCAGTAAAAAGAGGAGAATTGGCAACAGATGTTAGCTCAGTGGTAATCTTCCTCACACACACACACACACACACAAGTCTGGGGAAAAAAGTATACATTGTATACAGGAAGGAAAAAACAAATCCCATTAAATGGTTCAGGGAATTTCACCATGGAAGTGATATTTCAGCTGAATTTAAAGTAATTTAGAATGTTTAAACAGCCAAAATGGAAGCAAGGAAGGTTACTCGGTGGACAGAATAAAGGCCTCCCAAAGATGTTTAGGTCCTAATCCCCAGAAGCTGTAATATGTTACCTTATGAGACAAAAGGAACTTTGCAGGTGTGATTAAGTTAAGGATCTTGAGATGCGGAGATAAACCTGGATTATCTGGAGGAGGGTCCAATGTAATCACAAGGGACCATATTAAGAGTGAGGCAAGAGCGTCAAATTCAGAAAAAGGAGATGCAACAATGGAAGTAGAGGTTGGAGTGATATGCTTTAAAGATAGAGGAAGGCCAAGGAATGCAGAAGGCCTTAGAAGCTGGAAAAAGCAAGAAAATATATTCTCCCCTGGATGTTCCAGAAGAAATAGATGGGAACTTCCTCAATTTGATAAAGAACATCTACCAAAGAACCTACAACTAACGTCACACATAATAGTGAGAAACTAGAAGACCAGGAACAAGACAAAGATGTCCCTTTTCATAGCTCCTGTCAAATATCATTCTGGAAGTCCTAGCTAATGCAATAAGACAAAGAAAAGGAACTAAAAGCCATATTTATTGGAAAGGAAGAGACAAAACTGTTTTTGTTTGCAGATGACATAATTGTCTATATAGAAAATACAAAGAACTTCTAGAAGATAACAGGAGAAAAATCAAGATGACTTTGGTTATGGCAATGAGTTTTAGATATAACACCAAATGCATTATCTATGAAGGAAAAAATTGATGTTACACTCCACTAAACATTAAAACTTCTGCTCTGCAAAGAACACTGTTACAAAAGATGAAAAGACAAGTCCAACACCAGGAGAAAACACTTGCATAATAGATATTTGATAAAAAAATAGATATTTGTATCCCCAAAATATGCCAGAACTCTTGAAACTCAATAATAAGAAAACAAACAACCAAATTAAAAAGTTGGCAGAAGATCTGAACAGTTGGGAAATAAGCATATGAAATTATGCTCAACATCATATGTTATTAGGGAATTGTGAATTAAAGAATGAGATAGCACTACGTACCTACTAGAATGGCTAAAATCCAAAACACTGGTAACACCAAATGCTGGTGAGGATATGGACCAACAGGAACTCTTATTCTTTGCTGGTGGGAATGCAAAATGGTACAGTTGGAAGACAGTTTGGCAGGTTTTTTTTCCCCACAAAACTAAACATAGTTTGCCATACAATCCGGCAATCACGATCATAGGTATTTACACAAATAAGTTGAAAACTTATATCCACGCAAAATCCTGCACACAAATGTCTACAGCAGTTTTATTCATAATTGCCCAAAATTAGATGCAACCAAGATGTCTTTCAATAGGCGAATGAATAAACAAATGGTAGTACATCCATACAATGGAATACTATTCTGTGATAAAAGTAAATGACCTATCAAGCCACTGAAGACATGGAGGAACTTTAAATGTATATTGCTCAGTGAAAGAAACCAGTCTGAAAGGGCTATGTACTATATGACTCTAACTATATGACATATTGGGAAAGGCAAAACTATGTAAGACAATAAAAAGATGAGTAGTTTCCAGGAGTTGAGGAGGACAGAGAGGAAGGGATGTTTAGGTGGAGCACAGGGCATTTTAGGACAGTGAAACCACTCTTTATGATATTGTACTGGTGGATCCATGACATTATGCATTTGTCAAAACCCCTTGAACTGTGCAACACAAAGAGTGAACCCTAATTTAAACTACTGACTTTAGTATAATGTATCAATATTGGTTCATCAACTGTAACAAATGTACCACATCAATGCAAGATGTTGATAATAGGGAAAACTGTTGCCGGGAGGGGATAGGCAGGAGGGAACAGGGAATATATGAGAAAACTCTGCACTTTGTGTTCAATCTTTCTGTAAACCCAAAACTGCCCTAATAAATAAATTTTATGAATTAAAAAAAAAAGGAATTTGGGAGAAGGTTGTTTAAAAGAAACAGACTTGCTGCCTAGTGTTGTATTGCCACTAGGCAAAAAGTAGAAAAATCAAAAATGGCTAATGTTCTACTTTTTGATTTGTTTATATTTCTATTCTGGTCTATTTCTCTAATTCAAAAATGTTCTCCAAAAAGATATATTTTGGAACAGTTGTCAACTGATTAATAGAGGTAGCACTTCTGACACGAAGTGAGAATTCTATATTTCAACAGCAGAACACAAAAAGGCTCGCATTCCTTAAGGATTCCAGAAACTGCTTATTAAATTTTCACAGGCTACTTCAAAAAGCAGAAACAGGAGTCAGGTAAAAAAGCCTTGAGGAAAAAAACCACATGGAAGGCCAATTCCTATCTTATTCCACACACAAACACAGATTCTATTGAAGATAATGTTTGTTTCTTTTATTCAATGGCAGACCTCAAGCATTCTATAGAGAAACAAATCTATTCCCAAAGCCTACATAACAAGTATTGCCAAACAGAAGGTTAGATCTAAAGGTGAAATTGACCTCTTTATTATGAGGAGAACTATGGGGAACCCAAAAGTTCTTTCATCTGGCCGCATTCAAAACAACAATGCAGGACTTGTTGGGGTTATAACTATAGATGACACTATACTCCAAGCCACAATTTAAACACAGTATCTTAGAGTATAACATAAACTTGGCCCAAAGGGCAAATCTTATTATTTATTTTTTGAAGGGGGTCGTCTATAAAGAGATTGAGAGCAATTGAACGCTGGAGATTTTTCTATGTGGTTATGAGAACATATATAATCTTTATTCTCCCCCCTGAAGATGTTTCCAGAAATAAAATTTCCCCAATTTATTCTGCAAAATTTGTTCCCTGTAATTATAGTATGTAGAGTAAAAAACAAAGTTGTATGAAGATTTATGTTACTAAATCAAAAATATAGAAAGGGGCATAATATATAATAGATTTAAATGTCAATGTATACTTTTTCATCTACATGAAATACTGCTGGTAATTTCACACAGGTACCAAAATAGAGGTGATATTTTTCATCATTATAATTTGCTTATAACAGGAGGCTATTTCATAGCTGTAACCTTTTATAAAAAATTATATGCTTCAAATGAGGGGAAGCTCCAAATATAGCCTAGGAGAGAGGGCTACTGTACTGTGACTAAATTTATCCATGAAAGCTTTGCTCAAAAGGAGTACAGGAAATGATTCCATGGTAATAAATAATAACTTTTGAAAATTAAATTTATCATAACTGGTGAGAAAATGTATATGAAGAAGCTACTTTTAATAGTTGGTGGGATTTTGTACGCTGCCGTAGTTGGTGATAACAAGAAAATATCTTCACATTACTGATTTCCAGTGATACTTTCTCCTCTTCTACTAAAAGCAGCTGAAAACTCATCTTCAAAAAGTCTCGGCTAAGTAACCCTTTTCAAATTCACTTTTATCCTACATTTTTGCTCACTATCTATAGAGTCATAATATGAATTAAAT